TCTAATGAAGTGATGAGGATAGTGAAGTTTAGAAAATACTTGCTCAATTAGAGAGCATTTTTTCTCATGGAACTCATTGCTACAGATTCTGAGTGCATGAAGGAAAAAGAATATAATTACACCACATTTGGTTTTGGTGTCAAGGTGAGAGTAGAAGTGCAGAAGGTTGTGATGGTTGCTAGGTTTTCAATAGACTTTAAAATAAAGTTCTTGGTCATCTTTGCACAGAATAACAACAAGGATAGGAAGAGTGTGGTCAACTTCTTCTAGTGTGAACTGTATTGAGGGCTCGACTTGGTTGAGTTTGTGTTGGAGAGCTTGAACGTTGAAGCGTCTGGGAGTTATGAGCAGAATGTCGTCAACATAATGGAGCCAGGTGACCGAAGAGGGAATAATAGAGGAAAATTGCTTAGCTTCCAGTTCTTCCATGTATAGGTTCACTAATATAGCACTAAGTAGCCTTGACGTATAGCACTAAGGCAGCCTTGACGTAACATAAGAACATAAGAAAGGATTGTAGATGAATGGTTCACAGAACCGACACGTTGATAAATTAGACACATGTGCAGCTCTTGGGTATCTTTATTAAGGAAACGTTTCGCCACACAGTGGCTTCATCAGTCCATACACAGGAGAAACTTGAAGAACAGGAGGAGAATGAGGTAATCAGTCCCTCAACCTTTAGTCGATGTGGTCAGTCCATCAATCAGTCCATCAGTCTATTCAAGATTGATGGACTGACCACATCAACTAAAGGTTGAGGGACTGATTACCTCATTCTCCTCCTGTTCTTCAAGTTTCTCCTGTGTATGGACTAATGAAGCCACTGTGTGGCGAAATGTTTCCTTAATAGAGATACCCAAGAGTTGCACATGTGTCTAATTTATCAACATAAGAAAGGAGGAACATTGCAGCAGGTCTGTTGGCCCATACTAGGCAGGTCCTCTACAAATTCAACCCACTAACAGAATATTTGCCTAACCCATTTTCAGAGCTACTCAGGCAATAAGCTTGATAAATCTATTTACTTATGTGCAAGTCTCACTCAAATCCAACCCCTCTCACTCATGTATTTATCCAAACTAAATTTGAATCTACCCAAGGTTTTGTGATTGCTTATGCCGAGTTCCTCTGTAATTTCTAAATTATTAACAAGGGTTTCCTTGTTTGCCAGAACCAGGTCAAGCAGGTTATTTTCCCTTGTAGGTTCTGTCACAAACTGCTTCAAAAAACAATCCTGAACTACTCCCAAGAAGTCGTTTGAGTCTTAACTGTTTTTATGCAACAGTTCAAGCGATCTCAGACATACAGTGCCACCCCACCCCACCCCAGTTACCGATACTTCTATCTACTTGGAACAACTTAAAACCCTGAATATGACATTCTACAGGCATTTTGAATTAAACCACATCCCGGTTATGGCAAATACATCAATGTTACGTGCACTAGCAACTAATTTCAACTCATCCATCTTATTCCTAGCACGCCGGCTATTAGCATAATATATATTTATAGACCCTCTTTTCTCTTTAGCCTTCCTGCTCATTTGTGTTTTTCCACTAAACCTATTACTGTCCTTGTCACCTAGTGCCACTGGCTTTCCAATATCCACCTCATTCTCCCTATTACTAGTTTCCCTAGAACTCATAAAACTATTCCTAGTTTAAAGCCCTAACAGCTCCCTCTACTGCAGTTGCCAGTGCTCCCACCCCAGACCTAGATAAGTGAACCCCATCCCTGCATACGTGTCATTTCTGCCATAGAAGAGGTCCCAGTTGTCAATGAATGTTACCGCATTTTCCTTACAGTATTTGTCCGGCCAGCAATTGACACCAATTGCCCTGGACAACCATTCATTTCCAACTTCTCTCCTTGGCAAAATACAACATATGACAGGGTTCCCACCCTTCCTCCTAATTATCTCTATTGCTGACCTATACCTGCTAATCAGGTCCTCACTCCTATGTCTGCCAAGTCTGAAGGATGACCATGAGCATTGTCTAATACCAGGAGACACGTAAGGTCCAATTTATTTTCCAGGAGGTAATTTTTTCACAGTGGGGACAAATGCATGGTGTAACCAGTCATAGAAAAAGTCCCTAGTGACCCATGCCTTACTGTTTGCCCTCCACAGCACACACAAATTAGCCTTGAGGACATTGTTTTTCCTGAACACTCTGGGAGTTTCAGAGTGATACACCGATAAAGGCTTCACTTTGCAATCACCACTAGCATTAGCACACATCAACAGAGTAAGCCTGTCTTTCATAGGCTTATGTCCTGGGAGTGCCTTTTCCTCCTGAGCAATGTAGGTCCTACTTGGCATTTCCTTCCAAAACAGGCCTGTTTTGTCACAATTAAACACTTGTTCAGGTTTAAATTCTTCACTGTCTATTTACTCCTTGAATTCCTGCACATATTTTTCAGCTGCTTTTTGGTCCGAACTGGCAGCCTCACCATGCCTTATCACACTATGTATGCCACTACGATTCTTAAATCTATCAAACCAACCTTTGCTGGCCTTAAATTCACTCACATCACCACTAGTTGCAGGTATTTTTCTAATCAAATCCTTATGCAACTTCCTAGCCTTTTCACATATGATCGCTTGAGAGATGCTATCTCCTGCTATCTGTTTTTCGTTTATCCACCCCAATAATAGTCTCTCAACATCTTCTATCACCTTTGGCAAGAACAGCTTCCTTGATTGCTGTTTTCTTGGCCATAATAGTAGCGATGGTTGATTGGGGTTTTGTGTACAACCTGGCCAGCTCGGAGAGACGCACTCCACTTTCATACTTAGCAATGATCTCTTTCTTCATATCCATAGTAATTCTCACCCTTTTTGCTGTAGGGTTGGCACTAGAAGCTCTCTTGGGGCCCATGGTGACTTATTTTGCAGGTGCAATAACTAAAAGCACTGTGATAATATGAAATGTTCCGATTGTATGTTTGGATGCGACCTCGGTGGCTGGCTTGTAAACACTGGGACCCACGGGACAAGTGAGGCGCGCTCAGGCCACATGTGGACGCGTCTCGAACAGAACGAATCGCTTTGGTCGAGTTTTTTAGTGCTAGTCGAGGCAAAATTTTTGCGTCAAAATGTATTGCTAGTCGGATTTAACGTTATATGATGCCATCGTTGGTCGAGGGTCCACTGTATTATTATTTTTGTATTATTATTGCTGAGAAGAAAAAGAGAATGATTTCCATGGAATTAAAGCATGAAATCATAGGTAAACAAGTGAGGTGTCCAGGTTTTGGGTTGAGGGGGAAGAGGGAGGGGGGAGCTGGCTCGTAGCTCAGAGCAAAAAATCGACCCAGGGATGGCTCGTATCTCAAAAAACTCATAAGTTGGGACACTCGTAAGTCAAGGTTCCACTGTATATTGTGGGATACAAAGTAGGAGTAAACTGGCTTGTGTATTACTTTTTCGAAGTTTTTAGTTAGAAGAGGTAGGTTTCATATAGTTATTTAAATCAGTAGGATCACCTCCTTTGTGGACTAGTGTAACCCTCAGTAGACTCGTTAAAAAGTGTTGCAATAATGGGTGACAAATGAGAAGGGAGGGGGTAAAGGAGGTTTTGTGTGCGAGGGGCTTGGACTTCCAGCAGGCATGCGTGAGCGTGTTTGATAGGAGTGAATGGAGACAAATGGTTTTTAATACTTGACGTGCTGTTGGAGTGTGAGCAAAGTAACATTTATGAAGGGATTCAGGGAAACCGGCAGGCCGGACTTGAGTCCTGGAGATGGGAAGTACAGTGCCTGCACTCTGAAGGAGGGGTGTTAATGTTGCAGTTTAAAAACTGTAGTGTAAAGCACCCTTCTGGCAAGACAATGATGGTGAAAGTTTTTCTTTTTCGGGCCACCCTGCCTTGGTGGGAATCGGCCGGTGTGATAATAAAAAAAAAAAAAAAAAAAATGAGAAGCTTTTTTATACATAAATGGTGGTAAGGTATTTAGGTCTCCTGCTTTGTTCTTTAGTGTTTTGATGATGAGTGAGGTTTCAGTAGGGTTTGTTGGGGCTAGGAACAGAGTATTGGGTAGTTGCCACTGAGGTAGTTTTTTGGTTGTGTGTTTGAGTTTGGGATTTTGCTTGCTAGCGTTGTTCCTACAGTGGTGAAAAAGACATTTAGTTTGTTGGCAGTATCCATCGGTGGGATGAGAGGTTCATTAGGTTTAATTAGGTTAATCACTTTTCATGGGGACAGTTTCCTAGAACCTAGAATTTCAGAGAAGGTTTTCCACGTCTTTTTCATGTCCCCTTTTATGTCAAAAAATCTGTTTTCACTATACAGTTTTTTGGCCCTTTGTATTGGATTCGTAAGCGTCGACGAGTATCGTTTTGTCTGTTCCTTCGTAATTTGACCCAGCCTGTACTGTTTTTTGTATACATGTGGGGACACAGCAGGTGTCCCTGTACCCGGGATTGACTGTTGGATCTCAGTGTGAGAGCTGAGTGAGCTAGCAATCAAGGTATGGGATATGAATTGACGGCCTTTATTTCAGAATTGAATTATTTGTAATGACTATTATTTCTTCAACTCAAAGGCCTATAACAAATGGCTCAACTCCTAAGTATCAGTTTGTTGCTAAGTAACAACAACAGCACATATTTTGGGTTGAATATGCTCTAGTTCTTGTAAGAGTTAAAATTCAAGGGTATTTCCACATGATACATTGTATATACAGAAATGGTTGACACTAAGTGGTTGCAGAAAGCCCATGGTTATGCAGAACATTTCGTGCAAGCTTAAACATATTACTGCAAGAGCAATAAACAATGCAAGTATGTTTTTAGGGACATTAAGCGTATACAAATGTTACTGAATAATTAGTGACCCTGGTAGATCATTGGTATCATTATACTTAATACTACTGCACCAAGAATTATGTTGTTTTAATAATAATCTCTATTTTCCTAGCATTTTAAGTGGTTACTCAAATTTTAATTACATAAAGTTATTTTATTTCTAATCTTATGTTATTTGTTTCCTTAGGTCGTCGCTATGAGTTGGACGACAAAGAAATCGGTTCCTTTATTGCGCTTCTAAAATCCTTCCAAGAAGACATCACTGGTTTATTTCTACCAATATTCTTTCCTATACTAAATTATCTTCCAAGATTTCTCACAAGAAAACTTCTTAGTCTTGAATTAATAGACAAAGTAAAACAGAACGTCTTAGAGCTCATGGGGGTAAGTCTGAACACAGCATTATTTTATACAGGTAACATTCAACATTCATCAGTGATGGAGTGAATTATGGTGAAAGTTTTTCTTTTTCGGGCCACCCTGCCTTGGTGGGAATCGGCCAGTGTGTTAATAAAAAATAATAATAATAAAATAACATTCAACTTAAAAGGGTTGAAAGTATAACTGTAATGCCAGTAGATATGAGTGAGAAGTTACATATGCAGAAGAAGCTTGTGTCAGATAGGTTTTACTCAAGGTAGAGCAAAATTTAGTTGCTTAAAAAAATTTTTTTTCTGCATATTGCTTATATCCATATAAATGAGCTGTTTGTTTAAGAAACAATACAATATTATATGTTATGACTCATAAATGTTAGTAAAGAAATTTCAACTTGTTAAATATTATTTGGTCCCCAAGTATCTCATTTTGAAGTGCAGGTGTGTGATCAGTGGCAAGTTTGCAGGTGTGTGATCAGTGGCAAGTTTGCAGGTGTGTGATCAGTGGCAAGTTTGCAGGTGTGTGATCAGTGGCAAGTTTGCAGGTGTGTGATCAGTGGCAAGTTTGCAGGTGTGTGATCAGTGGCAAGTTTGCAGGTGTGAGATCAGTGACAAGTTTGCAGGTGTGTGATCAGTGGCAAGTTTGCAGGTGTGTGATCAGTGACAAGTTTGCAGGTGTGTGATCAGTGGCAAGTTTGCAGTGTGTGATCAGTGGCAAGTTTGCAGGTGTGTGATCAGTGACAAGTTTGCAGGTGTGTGATCAGTGGCAAGTTTGCAGGTGTGTGATCAGTGGCAAGTTTGCAGGTGTGTGATCAGTGGCAAGTTTGCAGGTGTGTGATCAGTGACAAGTTTGCAGGTGTGTGATCAGTGGCAAGTTTGCAGGTGTGTGATCAGTGGCAAGTTTGCAGGTGTGTGATCAGTGACAAGTTTGCAGGTGTGTGATCAGTGACAAGTTTGCAGGTGTGTGATCAGTGGCAAGTTTGCAGGTGTGTGATCAGTGGCAAGTTTGGCAGGTGTGTGATCAGTGGCAAGTTTGCAGGTGTGTGATCAGTGGCAAGTTTGCAGGTGTGTGATCAGTGGCAAGTTTGCAGGTGTGGTGATCAGTGGCAAGTTTGCAGGTGGTGTGATCAGTGGCAAGTTTGCAGGTGTGTGATCAGTGGCAAGTTTGCAGGTGTGTGATCAGTGGCAAGTTTGCAGGTGTGTGATCAGTGGCAAGTTTGTCAGGTGTGTGATCAGTGGCAAGTTTGCAGGTGTGTGATCAGTGGCAAGTTTGCAGGTGTGTGATCAGTGGCAAGTTTGCAGGTGTGTGATCAGTGACAAGTTTGCAGGTGTGTGATCAGTGGAAAGTTTGCAGGTGTGTGATCAGTGGCAAGTTTGCAGGTGTGTGATCAATAGCAAGTTTGCAGGTGTGTGATCAGTGGCAAGTTTGCAGGTGTGTGATCAGTGGCAAGTTTGCAGGTGTGTGATCAGTGGCAAGTTTGCAGGTGTGTGATCAGTGGCAAGTTTGCAGGTGTGTGATCAGTGGCAAGTTTGCAGGTGTGTGATCAGTGGCAAGTTTGCAGGTGTGTGATCAGTGGCAAGTTTGCAGTGTGTTGTGATCAGTGACAAGTTTGCAGGTGTGTGATCAGTGGCAAGTTTGCAGGTGTGTGATCAGTGGCAAGTTTGCAGGTGTGTGATCAGTGGCAAGTTTGCAGGTGTTGATCAGTGGCAAGTTTGCAGGTGTGTGATCAGTGGCAAGTTTGCAGGTGTGTGATCAGTGGCAAGTTTGCAGGTGTGTGATCAGTGGCAAGTTTGCAGGTGTGTGATCAGTGGCAAGTTTGCAGGTGTGTGATCAGTGGCAAGTTTGCAGGTGTGTGATCAGTGGCAAGTTTGCAGGTGTGTGATCAGTGGCAAGTTTGCAGTGTGTGATCATGGCAAGTTTGCAGGTGTGTGATCAGTGGCAAGTTTGCAGGTGTGTGATCAGTGGCAAATTTGCAGGTGTGTGATCAGTGGCAAATTTGCAAGCTGCAAAATGTTGACCATTGAAACTTTGCAGCTTCTTGTACCTAGGGTATACCTGGAGGGAGTTTCAGGGGTCAATGCTCCCACAGCCCGGTCTGTGACCAGGCATCCTGGTGGATCAGGGTCTGATCAACCAGGCTGTTACTGCTGGCTGCACGCAGACCAATGTACGAACCACAGGTCGGCTGGTCAGGTACTGACTTTCAGTGCCTGTCCAGCACCTTCTTGAAGACAGCCAGAGGACTATTAGTAATTCCCCTTATGTATGCTGGGAGGCAGTTGAATAGTCTTGGACCCCTGATACTTGTTGTCTCTTAGCATACTCATGGTGCCTCTGCTTTTCATTAGGGGGATTTTGCATCTCATTTACTTTCCTAGGGAGTGACCGACACTGGCTGTTAAGTCATACATGTATGGGACCAACCCTGAAAGGGATGAGCGCTTTGTCATATTTATGCATCCCATAAAAGTTCTCTGTACATTCTCCAGATCTGCAATTTTGCCTACCTTGAAAGGGGCCATTATTGTACAGCAATATTCAAGCCTAGAGGGAACAAGCGATTTGAAGAGAACCATCATGAGTTTGGCATCCCTAGTTTTGACGGTTCTCATTTTCCATCTTATCATTTTCTTAGCAGATGTAATAGAAACATTGTGATCCTTGATAGTGTGATCCTCTGACATTATGACTCCCAAGTCTTTCACATTAGTATTTCGCTCTGTTGTGTGGTTGTAATTTGTTTTATACTCCGATACAGCTTTAATTTCCTTGAGATTTTCATATTGGAGTAATTGAAATTTCTCTTCATTGAACTTTGTTGTTTTCTGCAGCCCATTTAAAGATTTGGTTTATGTTTGCTTGGAGTCTTTCAGTGTCTTCAATGGATGACATCATCATGCAGATTCAGATGTCGTCCACAAAGGAAGACACGGTGCTGTAGCTTACATCTCTTTCTATGTCAGATATGAAGATAAGGAACAGGTTGGGGCAAGTACAGTGCCTTGTGGAATGGAGCTTTTCACTGTAGCCACCTCAGACTTTACTCTGTTTACTATTACTCTTTGTGTTCTATTTGTTAGGAAATTATAGATCCATCTACCAACTTTTCCTGTTATTCATTTTTCATGTATTTTATATACTATTACACCATGGCCAAACTTGTCAAAGGCTTTTGCAAAGTCATCTAGTGAATCTAAGACCTAGTCATAGTGGTCCAGTAGTTGGGACCGGCAGGAGCAAACTGCTCTAAACCCATGTTGCCCTGGGTTGGTAATCTTGCTTCTTAGAACCCTTTCAAAAAATTTTATGTTATAGGACGTTAGTGCTATCGGTGTGTAATTCTTTTGCAGTGATCCTTGTGTCCATGCTCCCTCTCCAAAGAATGCTGAGGGCTGTGAAAAGGGCTTCTTGCAGTTCTTGATGAACATGGAGTTCCAGAAGTCTGAGCCTGGGGCAGAGTGCATGGGCAGGTCATTTATTGCTTTCTGAAAGTCTTGTGGTGTTAGGATAATATTGGAGATTTTTGGATTGACCAAGTTTTGAGTCTCGGTAATAAAAAAATTATTTAAATTTTTGACCCTTAGTCCGGTTAATGGCTAGCTCAATGCTGAGTCATATTGACACTAGTATCTTAGCCATTTCTTTGCTGTCATCTGTATAAGCCCCATCATGTCTAAGCAGGGGTCCAGTACCTAATGTTGTTTTTGCCTTAGATTTGGCATAAGAAAAGAAATATATATTTTTTCCAATGGCTTTAAGTTCTTCCTGAGTTTCTTGTCTCCTGAATGATTCCTTAAGCTTAACTTCAATATTTTCTATTTCTCTGACCAGTGCCTCCCTTCATATTTCAAATAGGCTGGCCCCTTTCAACAGCTCTGTGATTCTTTGCCCTCACCTGTATAGGGAGTGTCTCTTTTTAGTTTACATCTTTTCTTCCTTTTTCTTAAAGGAATGTTCCTTGACCATACCCCAAGTGCCACAGAGTTAATTGTTTCTAGGCATAGGTTTGGATCTATATTGTTTAGGATATCCTTCCTACTTCTAGGTAGTAGGTTGGTAGACAGCAACCACCCAGGGAGGTACTACCATCCTGCCAAGTGGGTGTAAAATGAAAGCCTGTAATTGTTTTACATGATGGTAGGATTTCTGGTGTCCATTTTTGTCTCATGAACATGCAAGGTTTCAGGTACGTCTTGCTACTTCTACTTACACTTAGGTCACACTACACATACATGTACAAGCATATATATACATACTTACCCCTCTGGGTTTTCTTCTATTTTCTTTCTAGTTCTTGTTCTTGTTTATTTCCTCTTATCTCCATGGGGAAGTGGAACAGAATTCTTCCTCCGTAAGCCATGTGTGTCGTATGAGGCGACTAAAATGCCGGGAGCAAGGGGCTAGTAACCTTTTTTCCTATATATATTACTAAATGTAAAAGGAGAAACTTTCGTTTTTCCTTTTGGGCCACCCCGCCTCGGTGGGATATGGCCGGTGTGTTGAAAGAAAGAAGAAAGATCCTTCCTACTTGTTTTATTGAAGACATCGTTGACTTGATCCCACTGCATGTTTTTGTTATTGAAGTTGAATTTCACGAAGGTACCCTCATAACTGGTCACCATTTACTGGTCATGAATCCTGTACCTCTCTTATCAGATCGTCATTGTTGAAGATGAAATCTAGTGTATTTGCTGGTTTAAGGTGAATTTGTTGTGTGTGAATTTTTGTCTGAGTTGCCTCCTGGGGTTATCTCTGCTAAACACTATTTGCTACATTCCTCCACTTTAGGTGCCTTAAGTTGAAATCACTCAGCAGCAAGGTGTTTGGGGCAGGAGTCAGGAGATTTTCTAGACAGTGGTCAATTTTACGAAGCTGTTCCTGGAATTGTTGGGAAGTAGCATCTGAAGGCTTGCATACAACTACAGTGACAAGGTTTTTGGCTCTGTATTTTAATTGCCAAAACTTCAGCTACATCATTCCTGGTGTTTAGTTCCGGACAAATGAAC